GTACTTCGTCTTCGATTTCCACGTCCCCCCAGATGTCATGTTCGACAAGATCATCAAGCTGTCTGTAAGTGAGCATGGTTGCATCGTCCTTTTTCATAAACTCCTTTGGTTGGAAAACACCTTTAAGAGCATCAAGTCCAACCATAACCTGTCCACCACTAAACCACGCCTCTTTTCATGGTGTTTTGGAAGAAACTAACCCATTTTGCATGTGCTTTTTGGATGGATTTAAGGTCTTTGATGTGAGACCCCCAACAGCAGCTGAGGTGTTTAGGTCCTATGACCCTCACCTCTTTTGCAGACCCCAATTCCCTCTTTCTCTTGCTGACCTTCATTGCTGGGTCCACACAGCTCCTCACCTGCAGCTGCAGTCCCTATCTCTCTCCATGGATGGAGGCAGAACTAAACCTGAATTAAGATGTGTTTAGGCACTGGAATGTTCCCCAGCCCTCCAAAGCATTTTCAGGGGCATGAGACTGCAGATTCACTGACGAAAGCACACTAATTATGAATACTCATATCTATCCCATGCATAAACTGGCTGTATGATTTCTCCCACAAAGGGAATTAGACCATAGATTTTGGGCACCCTAAAGACCCTTCCTTCAGATGCATGTCCCAGTGTTTGTTGCCATAGTGGCTGAAAAACTGCATCTTGTTTCAGAGATTCATTTCTTTGCAATTTTTTCCATTCAATCAGCTTTCTTGCAGTACTGCTAAGCAAGAGCTGCCAACCCCACCATGTCTCAGTGTCCTTATACAGACCGAGGTCCTGCACAGACCAAGGAAAATGCATCAGCTCCCTTCCCATCTGACACCAAACACCTTTGGAAAGAGCCTTACAGCTCCAAGGGCATGAAAAAAAAATCCTGACGTGTTTTCCCCTCTCAATTTCCAGGTGATCCACTCAAAAAACCTCTTGCGCAGTGGGACTTTGGTAGGCTCCTTCAAGATGGACGTTGGAACCGTTTATACCCAACCTGGTATGTAAACACCATTTGCAACCAGTCCTACGTGCCTACCTGCACCACTGAATAAATGTCCGTGCAAAGTAGCTGGGCCGGTGCTGGTTTTCTTGGCTGATCCTTATCTACCTTAATGTTCATATCCTAGACATAAGACACTCACCTTGGGCTCTGCATGCAGTCAGGAAAGAGCACTCTAACTCCAGAAAAAGTTATCCCATCCTGAAATAAATCTTTCAGAGAAGATAACTCCAAAATCACTGTATTTTCTTTTTCCTTGCTCCTGCATCACACCTCTTGCAGCGCTCTGCCTCCATAAATAAGCCCCAGAGACAAGATATAAATGGAGCCTCGCGAGTCTGCCCTTAAGGGGTGGTCAGCAGATGATGAGGGAGACCTTAAGGGAGGATCTAGTCTGGTTCTCTGCTCCACAAAAGGATGGAGTCTTTCTATCACCATCCAAAAGACACCCGAGACCCTATAGACTTAAAATTATATCATTCTTTATGTTGGAAGAGACTTAAGATCATTGAGTCCAACCATTGGTCCACCACTAAACCATGTCCTCAAGTGCCACATCTACACATCTTTTAAATTCCTCCAGGGATGGAGACTTCCAGTGATGGAGAATCCACCCCACTTTGGGCAGTTTATCCCATTACTTCTCTATCCTCAACATGAGACATGACTTCCTAATGAATTTTTCAGGGTTTCTGCCTGAATTCCTCACACCTGAAAAGATCTCTTACCTATACGTGCAGGTCTCCCCCTCAAGTGGAAGGATGTTTCTAGTTCTCGCAGTAGTTGTGTGTCATTCTGATAAATGACTGTCCTGTCTCTTGGCTTCCAGAGCACCAGTTCTACCACAAATGGGCCATCCTTTCTGACCCCGAGGATCTCACCGCTGGGCTGAAAGGTTACTTGAAGTGTGACATCGCTGTGG